TTACAATGTGAAATAACCATGACATATCAATGATCGGGTCACCTCTCTTATTATGTTAATGTGCAGGAAACAAATCCTTATCAATATGACATATTTCTTTAAAGTTAAACCTAAGGAACATTTCAGTTGGACTGAAAATTTATTGTCCGAATCAAAGCAATGAAGGAGTGAAAATTTTGTCTTTATAATACTACTGACCTGGAAATAAAGGTAATTTACAGGTATCTAATAATAGTGAAGTTCACATCCTTCATTAAGGTAATGCAAAAATCATAATCACTCTGATACTATATTATAAAATTTTCACCTACATATCTTTTGACATACAGATAAAAACAAGGTGACCTAATAATCTAAAACTGGGTGATGTAGATAAACTTGAAAGTAATGACAAGGAAAAGATATTATCAGAACAACCAGAAGAAGATGTACAGCTCAGTTTCATTTATAAGGAAGGCACATAGTAAACAAGATGGCTTTATTTCTGAGGCTCATTATCTTTCACTTTAAAATTCTTGGTTTATATATAGAACAGACTGACCAATACACAAGTGATCCCTAGCTTAATGATTAAGATGACCACAAGATGACCATCAAGACCCCCAATGCTAACCCATACACTAGTCACCAGATAAACACTGATCCTGACCTCAAAGTTCACAAGGTCAAGTACTCAATCATTACTGTTGTCCGAATGTCCATGATTTTAAATAAGTCCTTAGGTAATACAGGTATGACATAGAATAAGTCAATTTCTGAGTTGTTGTCAAAATTTCTGTAGGGTTCAAATAAATGTACAACTTACATATCAGCAACTCCTTACATTCTAATCAGATATTTGCATTTCCTTAAGTACCAAGTTTACCTGTATTTAACAAGAGAAACGGCTACCTGAGTGATTCCCAAGACGAAAGGTAACCTTCCATCACAACATCATGCTTCTCCATCAATTATTCATGGAGTTAAGTATACTACCTGTAATACCTTAATACAGCTCGGTCAGCTTTGTAGAATTACTAGCTAACACAAGATGGATGACAAGACAAATTCCCACAACCACAGTCTCGTTTTAGTGTATTTCTGGAAACCACACATTCATTCATTTTTATTTACTATGCATCAAAGAAAATTGTAAACTGTCTCATTTTGAGACTTCAACTCTTACCTTGTCTTTTCTCCACCATCTTATATATCTAAGTTTTTTGTTAAGTTCAACGGGCCGTCTTTTCTTAGACTTCATCTTTTGAAATATCTATACACATAGAGTATTTCCTTTCAACACAGGATTTCAAATATGGAAGAAAACCCTTTACCTAGAAACTCTACTGATCCAACTCTTATCTGACAGAGCATTAATTTCTCCAAACATTTGTATTTAGATTTTACATACCATGTAGTGATATTTCTGTCTACACATCTTATTATAAATTATATAATTACAACAGATTACATACTGATCTCATCCCCAATCTGATGTCATTACAAAGTAAAAGACTAAAAGCTGTAACACTGAGTAAGTACAGCTTCAAAAATGTTAAAAGGATAGAAAATATCTCATAATTTACTGTATATTTATCATGGTGTGTAAGATAACTGTTTCAAAATATTACCATCTATAGAAAGTTTTTCATAATTCAATATTTTTGGGGCGAACAGGCCATAGTAATGAGTCTCAGGATACAGTTGGGTAGGTATAATAGTACACCCTGGTATATGCATCACTCAATACAATTCTGCCTATATGTTAGTGTTGTATATTAGATATAAACTATAGTAACTGGCCATATCTGAAGCAGAGGCACTTTTTACTGACCATTAGAGAAGCTAGAACCCTCATTACAGTTACATACTTATATATGCAGAAAACTCCCCTAGCATTATAAAAACTTAGATGATAATATTGAAAGATATTATCAACAGCATCTTATTAGGGAAAATTTAACAATACAGGCTAATTTACACCAGCATACAGCATTCTCTTTATGTGCATAATTTTAACATAACAAAAACAAAAAAACAAAAATTTCTTAAGTACATATTCCAGTGCATGACATATAATTGTTGATCTGATGATAGCATGTCAGTATTTTGAAGAAGAAGAAGCAGATGTATGGAAGAGTGAAAAATACCTCAAATGAATATTTCCCTGTATACAATGTATTATACCATATATCAGACAAAAGTCAAGCATGTTATAGTTGACAGACAATGAACCATACAAAACATTCATGTATTTGATTATTGACAGTGTCAGTCAGACATTTTGAAAATATAATAAAATGGCTGTTGTATTCTGTAACCCTTACCTGTAGACTCAGACACCTGTATGTTATTAGACCCTGACTGGTCAATGTTGATACTGATTAGTCTTGTTCCTGAACAGGTGAATATAGATCTCTAAGAAATTACTACTCTCAATTCCTTTACCTACACTTGCCTGTACAAAATACCTGTGACGCACACTTATTTACACCTGTGTAGAGTGCATATATACCTGTACACACACACCTGATCAGTCCAATATTATTAACAGGTAATCACACATAAAGAACACCTCACTTTTTCAATGAACTATTCCACAGCCAGAATTTTACCTGTATACAACACAATGGTATATATCAACCACTACTGTATCCTATATTATGGGAAATTTTTATATTCGAATTTCTACTCAAATATTAATGAATTCAACTCATAAACAATCCTACCTGGACGATATGTCGTCTGCTAGCCTGTTTACCATCAAGTCTGCAGTCATTTATAACACACTCTCGGTCATTTTATTCAAGGGAAGTAAATCTAAGAACAGGTGTATTTCAATACACCTATCCTATATTTGATCAAGAGACCTGTTCCTTTGTCCACTTTTTACAGATAAGAATGGTACAAAGACAGAAAATTAACACATAATCTTACATGGGATCAATATACACTTGATATCAACTTGTATACAAAAATGTCTGTGTAAATACAGGTGTGTATGAGGTGGTAAAAAAAGGTCATTTGGTGCACAAACTACCAACACCTTAAAAAAGACCAGACTTGTAGAACATATTTGTTCACTTGCATATATGTAATCTCTAATTATAGAGGCAATTTCAACAGACAGGTTGATTACGACTGATCCCTGTAAAAGATTACTCAGACATGTATAATGCTACTTGTGAAACTGAGATTGGGACATATGGTAAGTCACCTGAACTTTGTCAGTCAACATACCTGGGTATTGATTGTAACCACCTGTGCATCAAAGCTTATCCAAAGACCTAAAACAGGTCACAGGTATGTCTCTTATTGACTGTGAGAACAGTAGGACACGTACACATAGCTAGATTATGTATCATGTGCGAAGCATGATGGAAATAGGACTATCATTATAGTGATAGTGCAAAGTCCTTTTAAGCCTTGGCATCAAAACTGTAAAACTCAGGATCTCTTGTTTACTTAACATCTCTTAATGCTTCCTCCAAGAATTGAGGTGGTTAAATTCAAGACCTCTGGTTTATTCATGCCTTCTTGGGCAGTGAAATTATCAAATCCATTCATGCCTCATCTAAGAATTAAAACGGTATATCTTCTTGTGGCATTGAAATGATCAAATCTAAGACCCCTGGTTAATTAAAAATCCCTTCATGTCTTCTTACGGCAAAGAAATAGGACCCTATAGTAGAAAGTATTCACCAACATAAACATGGACCTTTTTCATTTCTTACCTTTGTACTTTTAATTTATAATGTCATACAAAATTATGTGACCCATAGGTCTAGAAGGGTTTCCTTCATCGCTAACATTTGGAGAAAGAAAAAACTCTTAACTGAATGGCCTTGTATAAATATTCCTATTTCCTGTCAACTTCTCGGCAGTAATCATAGATCATTCTCTTTGCATGTTGATTTTTTCTCTCACATAACCAAATTATTCATTTTCAACAAAGTAACAAGATTTGTCTCCCTTTATTCCGCACTACACCGTCAAGCTGACAGTATAATTTTTGTCTTTCAATGTTTAGTGTCATGTTTGAGAAACAAAATAGTTTTACTGTGAGTCCTGTGACAAAGTACAAATCTATTACATGTCAGTCAAGAACATGTACATGAATCCAATTAATCATCCATAGCACATCAATCTAAGGACAAAGCATGATAAGACACAATTCTGACACCTGCTCTATTTACTTCATATGTTACTCTGTTTAGTTTTTATTTCAATTTTGTATTTGCTACTTCAAGATATTTTACATAAAAAATGGGGCAAAGCCGCAACTGGTCAGGTTGTGGGATGAGTGCAATGTTATATGGTATTTATAAGACAGTTAAGGGTGTTTCGGAAAGATTCTTGTAGTAATTTCTGAAGAAAACTGTGATAACAAGAAAAGTTTCAGAAATGGACAACAGATGATGGACCACGGACAACTGGTGATTTGATCAGCCCACTATGGATGGTGGGCTAAGAACTTGACAGCTTCTTTCTTTATCTTTGTACTACAAAGTTTTTTTTATTTGGCAGGGGGGTTATATTTTGCTATGTTCGCAATTTGCTTTCAAATTCAATTTAAAACTTCCATGAAAATTGTGATAATAGTTCAGTTGTATTTGCTGGTACCCCGTTTCCCTGCCAAACTGAGGAAAATGACTAAGTTCCAAAGTCCAGAAAATCCAGAAAAATGTTCGGAAAGAATCCATAGTAAGAGATGCACATCTTCAACATATATATAAACATCCTACAAAGTTTCAAGCTTCTACGTCAAAAACTCTACGAGGAGTTGATTCTACAAAACTGGTAACCCTTTTCCCTTCCCGCCCATCTGGTATTCACCATACTATAGCTCGGATTTGCACTATGTGCAACCCGGTCAAAAAACCCTCAAGTAATTCAAAGACATGTTAATTAAAGTAATTTTGTGGCAGTTTCAATAAAATCAACTTTTATGTTTGTGGGTCTAATAAATTCTTAATCATGCTTTGTCCTGTGTACAAGTTTTAGTGTAGTATTAAACGTACCTTCTACGACAACTTCCTCCTCGTCAGAGTAAGAGATGTCCACTGACTTGGTAGACTTCATACTCTGTTGTAGGATAGCCTTCCTTTCAATGTCCATCTGTTTCAGCCTCTCCTCTGACACCTCTTTTGTACTCGCTTTAACTGTGAACTTGGGCGGCTCTGTGATGATGTCAGAGAAATTCCGCGCCTTTCTCACAATGGATGAAGTGTCTCGGAGTCCGGCATTGAATGAGGCATTCTGAGGAGTCTCAGGAGGGGAGACAACTGTGTTCTTATTTGGAACAAATTCATCAACTACAGGTGTCTCTGGTTCAGAGTAAACAGATCTGGGTGCAGATTCAACCTTTACCTCTTTAACCATCTCTATTGTTTCAATGACAACAGGTTTCTGCTCTGGTTCTGGCTGTTTGAGCTCTGTATCCAGTTCAGGTTCAGATGTCTGCGGCGTCGATTCAACAACTGTAACTTCCTCTACTTCCACCGTTTCATTAATTGGGGGACTATGATATTCTTCAAAGTCTTTGATCTCTATACTTTCTGTGACAACTTCCTCTTCTTGTTCCTGGAAATCCTCAAGTGTGTTACACAGACTGACCTGATTACTATTGTCATGGTCTGTACTTGACATCAACTCATCGAAGGCAGAGTCTGTCTGTGATTGTTCCCCAGGACTCTGAAGCATGGAATTCTCAGTCGTGTTAAAAGAGATAAGTTGAATTCCTCCATCATTCTCATCATCCAATGCAACATCAGTGGGCAAAGTTCCTGTTTTGGCATCACCTAGCAAAAGAACATGTGTGTAAACATAAAAACTACACGTGATCTGAAAATTAGGAGATACACCAGTAACTTGCATATAGAACCTGGACTTCTTTGGAGCATTTATTTATATCTTGTTACAAGTGACTGTTTTAAATTGAGGAGATGATAAAACAGTTATCTTACCTAATTTGTTTTATCTAAGATATTTTAATAAAAAACTGGAGATGAATATATGTCCTTCAAACTAGAAAATGTCTGCATCTATTGACAACAATGTTACTTGATGATATTTAATGAACAGTTATTGTAACAATGACACTGTAACCTTAAAAATTAACGCAATTCAAGAACTTTTATAAGTGAGACTTGATCTGAAGAAATTAAGTTGTTAGAATGATGACACGAACCCAGGATATGGTGTCCCCTACAAATTGGCAAAGCACAAAAAAAATATTTATAAAATCAAGAATCTATTAATAATTTTCTCTTCAGAAGTACTTACCTGGAATAAATGTAGCCTTAAAGTGACTATTTTGTTCTTCATCTGCATCAGATACATCTGAATCTTCATCCCTATCTTCTGCCTCCTTCAAACTAACCTCATTTTTGAGGTCATTGATATAAACATCCATGTGCTCAACATGTCCGTTTGTTTGAGGAAGGTCATCCTCAAAAACTATTTCCTCCGACATCACAGGTCCAGTTTTCTTCTTTATTCCGAAAAATTCTGCTCTAAGTTCAGACACCGTTGATACTGGAGAGGTTACCTCCCTTCGAACAATCAGATTTGTTTCTTTCTTGGTGTCTTTTATTTCTTCCTTCACTTCAGGTAATGTTTCCTTCTCGCTGACTTTTGTAACTTCTATCACTTCAGGCAGTGACTCTTCTTTGCTAACTTTTGTAACTTCTATCACTTCAGGCAAAGTCTCTTTCTCAGAAACTTTCGAAACTTCTATCACTTCAGGCAAAGTCTCTTTCTCAGAAACTTTCGAAACTTCTATCACTTCAGGCAGTGTTTCTTTCTTGCTAACTTTCGTAACTTCTATCACTTCCTCTACGATCGGTTCACTTTCGAGGATTTTCTCCTCAATGATTGGTTTATGTTCTACAATAGGTGAAGCTACCACCTCTAAGACTTCTTCTTCCACTGATTCTGCAGATGCTAACTTTTTAGGAATACCGCCCAGGGGCAGTAACGGGGGTGGTGATGAGGGTAAGGTGGGGGCGAAAGACTCAGTACTTGTACCTGAATGTGTGGATTGAATCGACTCAGCTAGAGAAACAACATCAGGTGGCTGTTGTGAAAACTTTTTGAAAGTTAGTTCAACCTCCTCGTCTACTATACTGTCATCAAAGATTGTTGATTTGATTTGAGGAACGCTTTCTGATTTTGATTTCTGGACCTGAACGATTTGTTCTTCAACAATTTCTGTGGGTGGTAAATGTCCATTAGAGAGTGAAGTGTCCTGATTTGTCACTTGGATTTTTTGTTCTGATTTGTCAGATCTCAGTGATAAAGAAGTTACCTGACTGGATGAATTCCTGTCCTCAGATAATGCTTGATTGTTAGGAGATTTAACAACTTTGTTTACACTTACAGGTACAGTCTCTGTGGATTCATCTCCTCTGGGGTCAATTGATATCTGAGTAAATCTTACTTCACCGTTAACAAGTGGAGCATCAGGAATAAGTTCAGGTTCTGGTGAGAATCTTACTTCAGATTTTTCTGTCTTTTTATCACTAGTTTTGTTTGAAAGATCTACAGAAGGCACAGTAATGGCACGATCAGGTGACACGGAAGACGATGGACGCTTTTTACGAGGGGGGCGTGATGGAGTCTCCTTCTCTACATTGACAACTTCTTCAGCTGCTTTTGTAGGGGTGCTCACTTCCTGTTTTACTTTTTCAGACAAATTCACTTCCTGTGTTTTCGCTTCCTCTTTCGATATTTTTGGGACAACTTTTTCCTGTTTAGATTTACGAGGAGAGGTAATTGGAACTGGTTCAGTGACAACAGGTGAAACTGGTGGAGATACAGGAGGCGGGGGTGCTCTTGTCTTTTTTGTGGATCGTGTTGGACTTGTTGTAGGTGAGGTAGCTCTTCGTGGACTTCTTCTAGGTACAGAGGACTCACCACTTTCACTTACTACTGAAGAATCTAAATTCCGATGAGACCTATCAGCAACAGGAATCTGACTATCACTTTTAACTGGAAGTCTTTGAGGTCTATCTGGTGCAGTTTTTCTGGGTGAAAGTCCACCATCTGCCTTTGAATCAAGATTTAATGAACGCCTTTTTGACCTGATCTCTTGGGAGTGTGCATCATTGTTGTCTTTTCTGCGATCTATCCAGCTACGCCGTTTGACGACATAATCTGAGTCTACTGAACTCTTGGATCGCTTAGGTTTGGCTTTCTCTAGTTCCTCCTCTTCCTTTGCCTTTTTACGAGCCAAGTAATCTGATGGATTTCTCTGTAAAGACACAAATGAATAATATATTATTATTGTACATTTCACCAACTCCTCATCATAAATTTAATGTTTTAATGCCAATAGACTGAGCTAGAACAATAGATTATTTCTATTTTTCTTAAAAAAAAACATAACTAACTTAAACAAACTTCTAAAATATTCCTGCAATCAGAAAAGATAACTAAAATTTAAATAAATAACTAGGTTTGATCAGCATAAATCATATTAAAAATCAATTGTACTCTGGTATCTCCCCTTCTGTAATGAAGCATCAGGATTTTAAGCTCTTTTGGTCAGTTTTAAATCCATTTATACAAAGAGAGATACTACCTATATTCACATAAATGTCAATAAATGCTTATTGTCAATATGAGGCTAAAATAAAATATTCAGGTTAAAAACCTACTTGGAGAACGTGATCTAACAACATTAAATCTCCCCCAGACTGACCCATTGGGGTTGCAACACTGGATTTCACACACTTTTTCTTTACTTTATGTTTACCTTATAGATACAAAAGTTGATTTAGTCTGTTCATCTTGTTAAACACATTTTACAAATAACTTGGAAATGTGCAAATCCCCCTCTGCCTGGACTTGATATAACCGAGGGTCTAAACAGGTAGAGATTGTACATTCTTTCATGTATTTGAGCTGTAGGTAAGACATGGATCAATAATTGATGCTAATTCTCTATGGATGTGACTTGTTAGTAAAGTAGGCTAGAAGTTCTGTGTGCAAGCCCATTAGGTAAGCATGGACACCATTAAATGTAACAAAGATGAAAGATACATGGCGATCCTAAGTACAGAACCAAGTAACTGACAATTCTCGTGCTGGCCACATGGGTATGATTCTTCAAGAGGTCTAATTATCAAACCAGCATCATTAACATCTGAAATACTCTCAATGAGTTTCTACACTTACTTTACTTTGAAATTAAATGTGACAAGGTGTGACTACAATAGATCAAGCAAGAAAGTGGATAATGAAGTGAAAGAGCAAGTGAGAATGTAAGTTGAGAGAGTAGGTTGTGAAGTGAGAGGGCAAGTGAAAAGGGAAGGTGAGAGAGTAGGTATTGAAGTGAGAGGGGAAGTGAAAAGGGAAGGTGAGAGAGTAGGTATTGAAGTGAGGGCAAGTGAAAAGGGAAGGTGAGAGAGTAGGTATTGAAGTGAGAGGGCAACTGAAAAGGGAAGGTGAGAGAGTAGGTATTGAAGTGAGAGGGCAAGTGAAAAGGGAAGGTGAGAGAGCAGGTATTGGAGTGAGAGGGCAAGTGAGAAGGAAAGGTGAGAGAGTAGGTATTGAAGTGAGAGGGCAAGTGAGAAGGAAAGGTGAGAGAGTAGGTATTGAAGTGAGAGGGCAAGTGAGAAGGAAAGGTGAGAGAGTAGGTATTGAAGTGAGAGGGCAAGTGAGAAGGTAAGGTGAGAGAGTAGGTATTGAAGTGAGAAGGGCAAGTGAAAAGGGAAGGTGAGAGAGTAGGTATTGAAGTGAGAGGGAAAGTGAGAAGGTAAGGTGAGAGAGTAGGTATTGAAGTGAGAGGGCAAGTGAAAAGGGAAGGTGAGAGAGCAGGTATTAAAGTGAGAGGGCTAAGTGAGAAGGCAAGGTAAGACAGGAGGTATTGAAGTGAGAGGACACGTGAGATTGTAAGGTGAGGGAGTAGTGAAATAATAGATCTTGTTATATTTCATCATCCTGATAAGTATTTGGTTCAAATTTGGAAAGACCATGTAAATTTTGACCTACAGAAGGTCAATTGTCAAATTATTGGCCACCATATTATCTGTCCCCCACACAGTAATAGTAGGAGACTAATATAAAAATTGTTAATACTTAATTTATAATAATCCACAAAAATGGATATTTATCATACATTCAAACCTTTGATACCATCCAATAACAAATATAAACCACTCATTGAAAGTACACACACACAAGTCTCTCAGTAAACACAAAGGGTCAATATGTAATCATATAGACTTTCAAACTTAATGTTATTGTAGACTGTTTTAACAGTTCTGTGTTTATTTGTATCAATGGCGTCTGACTTCCGATCAATTATATTCCACGGTCATTGATATGTAGTTCAGAATCCAATACCATTTGACTGACATACAATCAATGAGTTTACAGTGGTTGTGACGAACACCTAATGGTAGGTTGTAATTGCACTACATGACAGTTGACTACCAGACAGTATAACAAGTAAAAATATTCAATGTCAAAGTCCATTTCAATCCAGTCTGCTATTTTGGAGCAATGTTACTTGTTTCCAAAATGTTTATAAGAGTTATAACTGAAAACATACAAGTGAAATATGTACAACCCGACAAACACCAATATCTTCAATACAGAACTGGTGCTGTTGTCAATTTATGGTAATTTTGTTTATAAACCTTTTAGCCTGTGAATGTCACTGTAAGGTCAGACAGGACACAAATTCAAATCCATGTAATGAAGCAGCAATATTGAACATTACCATGGTGGGAGAACAATTGAAAGCAATAAATTATCAGACCCTAATGAAGACAATCTAATATATCAGGCAGTCAGTTTTTACCTGTCTCATTAATGTACCCCTTTTACCTGAAATTACTTGTCTGTACAGAATTCTGCAGATTATGTACAAACTATCCATAAAATATCTTTTGTATTCTTACCGTTTTTCATAAACACAGATGTCCTCTAATGAGAAATGTCAAAAAAAAGTCCTTGCATACGGAAATTAAGCAATTGATGCAATAATCACAGTCTTCGTCGATGCAGCTAGAAATCTTCGACCTTCATATTCACTGCCTTATAAATTTGAATACCTAACCAGCACTAAAATATGAATCCAAAATAGGCATTCAGACCAAGTACAGGTCGTCTTCGTTTATTATACAGGTATATATCTCAATATATTACCTGTACATGGAAGTCATACAGGTAAACACAATGTAAATATATAGCTGGTTCACAGCCATCATCCTACCTATAGTACAGTATAATAAAACCTTTTTGTGGGCCCTCCCAATGTAAAAATGTCCCTAATGAAATATTTACCTGTTCTATAAAGATCTACATTGTAGCAGCCACAACATTGGTTACGGTTGTAAAGCATTCTAATTCTGATATCGATTAGCGTAAACCATATTCTATTTTAAATTTCGTCCTTGCATAGTTTATATGTATATACATTGTATGCTTAATGAAGAAATTATTCAACAAACCACTACCATAACAATTAAAGTGATGGCATTTAAAGATGGTTGGAGGACAAATTAATGTTTGCTGCTGAAGAATATATCAGAAAAAGTGTACTTCCTTGTAAATTGTAAAATTGCAAAGTTATAACTGTAAATAATTGTGAAGACAACGCTTTGAAAAAGTCACTTTTGTAATTAGTTTAAATTCAGTAGAAAGTGAAACTCAAGTACCGTTTACAGAAAATTACAATTGACAATTACAAAACAAAACTTTCATAGCTATTTAGAAGTATCAGGAAAGTTTCCATAAAAGCATTAAAAAATTTACAATATCAAACCAACAATATGGAATATTAAACAAAGGTACATACCTTTCTACTTGTTAGGGTGTGTCTGTTTAGTTAAATGTTTCCCAATATGTAAACTCAATAACTCTGTACCTTATCTGTAGGTATGGATATATATTGCCAGATCCTGGCACACTTGACGGGGAATATGGATGACATACCTGGATGTTAAATATATGACATACCTGTATGGGATTTATATGATACTCCTGTATAGTGAATTACACACCCCTAGCTTTCCAATCACTTGATATCTACTATCAAACCACAATTGTTGCAAGGTGGCAGGTAAGACCTGGGTAGTTGTGCTCTAGACATGGCTACGAAATACCACAAGATAATGCTTTTACATTCTGCGACCCAATAACGATTCGTACTCATAGTACAAACAAGCCACCTGAGTAGAAATTTATCGACTTTCCATCAACTCTAAGGTCATGAACATAACCTTTGATCTTCTGCCCATCAAGCACTTACCGGTGTTTTTAGTTTGGTATTTTTTCTCTCTCTATTTTCTCAACATTTCGCAAACTTTAGACTAAGTACACATGCACTTGAGCAGACATCAATGTCAAACTTGTTCTCTTAACCATCCAAGTTTAAATGATTTTATTGACTTTGTTAGATCAAGAAGTACTTTAAGGAAGGACAACGATTGATGAAAATTTACTAGTAAACAAAATATTAACTCTTATCACAAGGAAAAGTCTAACTCACTTTATCCATATAAAGACAAGAAAGGCTATTTTTCACTACTTCTTACAGTTAAGAAGGTAAATCTTTTTGAGTTTTTTTCCCTGTCTTGAACCCTAATCTGACATTCGGCTGCAGATCTATTAGTTATCACACAGGTTAAGTGCCACACATATGATCTAAAATATGCAGGAAAAATTTGCAATGGTATTTAAGTACTTTCTAAAGTAAGTAATCAACCATTATAATGGTCCCAAAAATATCTCCCCAATTTTAAGTCTCCTACTCATCTCCCCTTTGACCTCCTTCACACCTGATAGTTTTGAGGAATCTAACAAACGTCTCCAAATGTCTACAAAAATCAGAAACTTTTCACACAAAATGTCAACTAATGTACTACGCTCTGACAATTTCCTCAAAACCCGTTTTATACTTTACATCACTCTGATGAGATGAGTTCTTCAGAAACTGTTAATGTAAGTTTTCCCTGTTAAATGATTTTAATTGAGATTATAAATGAATAATATATTGATTAGTTGACAGGTATAGATGTCAACAGAATGTTACTTGAGGCAGATTCATTCGGTGCAGATGTTGTGCTTTTGGACACCAAAGATCTACTGTTGGTAGTCAAATTCATCCCCAAAAGTTTATTCCTATCAAAGTTTCTTACCTGAATAACTCAACAATTAAAGTAATATTAACAAGCTTCAAATTTAAAAAATATTTAAACTAAATACAGAAAATTAACAACATTAGAAGACCCGATTTCTAAA